TGCCACCAATTATCGACGGCGGATATGGCAGATAATTTTTTAATTAAATTTTCGCCTAGCATAGATTAAAATTTTACTTTATCCTATTTCTCAAATTCACTCTCACCTGCACCTTCATCTTCATAACTAGCATTAGTATTTCTCTATTTGTTATTGTTGCTTTGAATGTCTTTTCAATAATTTCGTTAAAATTTAAAATATTTCATTGTACTTTTCTTTCATTCATACCAATAATGTAGTCAATATGTACGAAATAATCATAACTACTAAAGCTTCTGAGATTCATTTCATTAGCAAACCATAAAAAAGTATTTGTATGTTTTTAAAGGTACTTGAGGGTACGGGTGTGACTTTAAAGCAAAGATACTCAAAACAACCCACACTCTATGCTAAAAAGACTAGAAAATGCCCGAATAATTAGTGGTTCAGCAATATAAGATTTTGATAACTCTTACTGTTTAATACTGATAGATCCAGCTTTTGATGCGCTTTAATTTGTTATAAAATTCATAAAGTATTCTATTTGAAATTACAGCGCTATCCCTCCCCCTCGCAGCAAAAGGGTGTGGGCATCTATCATCTCGTAGCCAAAATTTATACCTGCATACCTACATCACTCACACCCTCAAAAATTCTGATTTGTAATAATGAACAAGATTTTAATTGATAATTATATTCTTTAATAAATCTTTCAATGTTTTGGTATCTTTAAAAATATAAGTTTTTCGTTCTTAACTATGTAATATTCATTATTTCCTAAACTGATAAAGTGTATCTAACTAATGAAAAGATATTGTGGCATCTATTGAGGGTGTGGGTGTGGGTATAGGTGTGGGAACGGCTGGTGTGTTTACCTAGTGCCCACACACCCATCAACACCTACCCACACCCTCAAAATGGTAGCCGAAATGTTGGATGCGGGAAGGCGCAAATTTAAAGTGCTTATAAAAAGCGATTTTACTTTCTCATATAGTTGTATATACAAGAAATATACGAAACCATGGTTTTATTTCAGGTTTAATAATACAGAAAGAACAGTTTTCAGCGATTGTTCGATTCAATCTAGAATATTTAAGAACAGTTAACTAGTCCTGCTTTGAACAATCCTATATCACAAGTAATTTCAGGATTCGATGTGTTTGTTTTACTTCAGAGAGATACCGAAAAAAGGATTTGCTGACAGTTTTTTAGTTTCATGTGAAGTATGAAAGGAAAGAGAATCTGTCTTCTCTCTACTTAATCTCTATTAATGCCCCTTTTCAACCAAATACTTTTATCAATTTATCTCGAAATCAATAACCAATCATTTTAACGATTATTTCAAATCCAATACAACATTCGTGGAGATAAAGATACATCACGCTGAAGCACATTTCCTATAAGATGTATTTCTAACGTCATATATATTTGATCTATTTTATTTCAAAGGCGGAAACTAACAACTTTGTCAGCTTCATGGAGCAATCTGTGCTAAAGAAAGATATGTATCCGAGGACTAATGTACATAATCATTTTGAAAGTAAAAGAAAACAGTATCAATGCAATCAGCATGATCGATTACGCCTTCGCAAAGATATTTGTCAGTAATAACGGGATAAGTGGCTGACAGGAGGAGTTTCAAGAAAGTGCTTAAATGATCTCGATGAACAGTTATAACGAGGTGAGCTTTGCATAGTGTGATGTACAGCATAATATTTGCTATCGAATAGTGATATTACAAGTGAAAATCACATTCAGATGCAACCTTGAAAATCTCGTATTAATAATATCTTATAAGAAGTTTACATAATTCGTCAACATATTGGCCAATAACAATTGGCATCTTTAGATATCCCGCTCTGTCTTTTGTCTAATGATCAAAACATCAAGTAGATATCTTGTTTTTATTGAAAGTTATTGTAAGAATAACTACGATCGTTATTACATTTTCAGACAATAGTTAACAAATAACGCATCGATTTCCTCAGCTGTACTTAACTGAATCCTGAAGACTGAATGAATATAAAGTATCACGGCATACTATACTAATGAATACTATTTCCAAATAACTCAACTGAAACCTACTTTCGTAGAATTGATGCTCGCAGAAGATCTTGAGAGTGTGAATGTGTCACGACTGCGTATTTTCATAATATTCATCTCAGTCACCCCTACATTTCATAGGCAAATGCATCATCAAGATATATATAGATAGGCTATAAACATTCTAGAAAGGAACCAGAAACTCTTGGTGAAATCTTACTGATTCATTTTCTGACCAGTCAGGTACCGAAAAAATCGAAGAACAATTTCCGGAACATATATACCATTCTTTCAGGATTGAGAATGAGAGAACAAATCGTTTCTAAAGCACCACATTCGGAAAAACAAGAGATTTAGTCTATTGTCGACTATCTTTCGAAAAACTTGTGGAAAAGAACACCAACAGTTTGCATTTTATTTGTTTAACTAAATGTGACTAACTAGAAGTTACAGTTCTTGAAAGAAAGCATGTCTGATGAAGTCTAGGACTACGTGGCTAAAAACAAACAAACATATTTTGTACGTTATGTATTACGATCGATTCGCTGTTGAACAATTTTCCATAGTGTCCGTACATTTCCAGAACCAAAACCATTAGCACCACGTCGTTCAATGAGCTCTAAGAAGAAGGTATAGTTGTTGAACAATGATGTTGTAAAGATTTGTAAAAGAACACTAAACATCAATAATTAAATAGTCATGTAAGTCACATGGTATAAAAATAAAATAATACCGTTTTGTTTCTGCCACTGTCGATGTAGTGCCCTGTGTATTATCATCATCAGCTTCATCATCAAGCAAAATACCTAACTCGCTAAGGTCGGCCGCACTTTCCCCAGCTGATTCTATCACTGTACCATTGTTCTCCTTTGAATAATACGCAAATATGTGTTATTTAATCATAACCACCAGCTATTAGAACATACTTGCAAATAATAGTCTACGCAAGGAGTTAAAAATTCCGCACCATGTACTTTGGCTGTGCGCACAGCATGTTTGATATTGTTAACACATGTGAATGCCATGTGCTGAATGCCTCCTTGATCATTATGGTTTTTAATAAATGTCGTAATCTGATCCGTTGCATCTTAACAAGAAATAAAAGAAGTTATAAAACAGATGTATGTACCCATCTCCTTTTCTTTAAATACTTGAATCGTCATCAATCAATGATTCAACAAAAACTAATTTAAATTTTTTTGATACATCAACACATCCTGTTTCAGCGCATTTCCAGTATAGACCTGCAAACATACGCATCCCTATAGATCCGACACGTACTGCAAATCCTTGAAATGGATCATCTTCACTAGAGAAAAAAATGTTCAAAAATGTGATAATTACTTTCATGTTATTATCTTATTCAAACATACCGATTAATAAGAAGACGTGTCAGACCAAGCACACGCTCATACCAGCTCATTGTGAGTTGGATTGATTGACGCGGTAAGGCAATTGCTAAGTGATCAATGTTACTCGCAATACTCTCATTAAATTGTTGCCATTGGTGAGAATCGACAGCCATTGGCATGAAACCTGGTAAGTACGGACCCGAATAGTTCGACACATCCATAATTGTATGAACCACATTGCCCACTGAAGACTTTATACAAGCATAGTCAATCGATCCATGCATATCCACGGCCTGACGCCGTGACACGAGTACCTAATCAGAAATCATTGTATGATGGATGATCCTCAATGTCACAATAATTTGTAAAGTGTGGGTTTAGGTATTAATGAGAAGAATACAAGCAGCCACAGCCACCCTCGAGATCAGACTCGCATCCTCAAGAAAACGTTTTAGCAGAAAGGTTGAACATTTCAAATCGCTGGTAATGTATAACGAGATATAAGATTTTAATAGATTTTAAAATTACAGAAAAATTTCATTACGCAAAATTATTCGTGATTCTCATAAAGTGACATATAAACGTGGCGAATGCATATAATTTTTATGAAATTTTGCCTCATCGAAAATTAAAAGGAGATCTTAATTGAGTCTTTTATTGTGATATCATCTATTTTCAGGAAGCAGAACATTGCTTCATTAAATCTTACTTGCACATCGGGACTTCGATCAAGTATCGATTTAACACAGTTGACCGTAAGAGCTAAGTTGAACACAGTGTTTCGGTTGATTACCAAGCTGCGTGTTGTTTCATTAGCGAGTAGCGTTGTCAGAATGTCATAGTGATCCTTGTTAACATCCTTTTCAATGTGTGGCTTAATATTTGATGCTGATGATATTATCAGTCGACAATGATTTGAGTCAAGAAGCCATTGACTGTAGTGAGGTGTGTTTTTCACAGCTGACAGAACAAAACCATACGTGTGTGTGAATACTTTTAGCAAATGCTCTGGTTCTGTCGTATGAAACTCCACATGATGAAGGCCAACAGTATCATCGACAACCATTTTCATTGATCTAGAAGAATTGCTAGAGTAATGTTCATAGATTCTCAAGTTACTTAGCCACGATACACTCTAGTATTATTCGTTGATAAGTGAAAGCTAAATGTCAAATGAAACAAAGAGAAAACACAACGCTTCTGCACTTTTTTAACTTATATTTCGATAAAGTTACGTGAAATAACAGTGGTTGAGGGTGGGGTGTGGGTAACGGTGAAGGTGTGGGCATGCGGATGCTACTGAAGAATGAAGTATACACCCACACTTACACTCACCCCGCACCGACACCCTCATCCTCATCCTCATCGACCACACAACCCACACCTACACTCATTAGGGTGCGGCTTTGAGATTTTTTCGGAGTTCTTCGGCATTCAGTATTTTCAAAATACAGACTTTAATTTAATTATTGGGTTCTTTTGAAGATGTATGATGAATAAAGAGTAAAATTCTCTATCACGCCATTGTATTTTCGGATCTCACTCAACATGTAGCGCAGGATAAATACTAAGGGGATTTAAAAATCCGAAAAAATTGGGATTTTCTAATCCCGTAGGTATTTATTCTCTATACATCTTGAATGAGATGTGAAAATACAATAGCCTGATAGAGAAGGTTATTCTCTATTCATCGTACATCTTCAAAAGAGCCCAAGAATTAAGCTGAAGTCTCTATTTTGAGAATACTCAATCCCGAAAAAATCCCGAAGCCGCACCCTGACACCTACACCCTAACTTCATACATCAACTGAAAACTTGGAGCTACCTTATCTAATGATATTTATCTCGTTCTTATGATTACTTCTCATTTCGTCGTTGTTGTCCTTTTCTTTTGTGTTATTTCTTTCTCTCTGGTGGACGGGTATAAAAGTGTATGCTTTGTATGAAATCGAGACGTTTCTCGGTAAAAAGAAATATAATATAATGTAATACCATCAGCACAAGCACTTCTTCTATAAGAAATCGTCGCAGCCTATGCATCAAAATATAACGAAAATTATTTAGTCCTGATTTTTCTTGATGGTACTGATGCTTATCTATAGTATTTTCTCATTTTCATTCTTTTCTTTTTAATTTATAATTAACTTCAATTTGTCAATCAGAGTATCAATATAAAACTGAATTTTCGTGGCCTCTGTTGAGATATTCCATCTCTTAACTCTCTCTTATACTCACCCATACCCCCACCCATCTGTATAATACTATATTATTAGTTTATTTTTAATTTAGTCGATTGCTGAAAAGCAAGAGTTAAAAGTAGCAAATTGCACTCGTCTTTTCTTCAAAAGATAAGTCAGTCTGCTTTTCGATTGATTTTTCATTGAATTTAGTTTTAACAATGTAATATGTTTTCTAAGTTAATTAAGCTGACAAACATTTGAGCAATAAGACGTCGTAAAGCACTTGATTGTTGACTTTGTTGTTGACGTGCTCGTTGTAAAATTTCTTCAAATTCATTAATCTCATTATTTTCATTTGATAAATCTAATTTATGTAAAAGTGATGTCATATAAGTAGCAAATTCTTCAGCTTCAGATATATGTATCAGACATTTATCTGTATAATTATTTAATTTATCGAATTTATTATTATCATACACATCAATAATTGCTTCAGCTAATATTCGAGCATCTTTAACAGCAACATTAAGACCTTTAGCAGTAATTGGAGGAACGATATGAGCAGCATCACCAACTAAAAATAAACGTTTGTATTGCATTGGAGTTATCATCGAAGTTCTTACTGGAAATAATGCTCCATGAATAATTGCTCCTTCATTTAATTTCCAAGATTTATCTTTTAATGTTAATCGTTTGTTCAACTGTGACCAAATTCTTTCATCTGGCCAATCTTCTAATTTATCATCAACAGAAACTTGCAAGTGATAACGGCTCTTTGTTGGAGAACGAAGACTCTGAAGAGCAAAACCATCTGTTTTATCAAAACTATAGACTACTTCGTATCCATCAGGTGGACTATCAACAAGAATACTTAACCATGAATATGGATAACTTTTTCTAATTGTACGAATTTCATCTTTTGGAATTGAATGACGACAACATTTACTTGCTCCTCCATCACATCCAGCTATAAAGTCACATTCAATGAATTCTTCTTTGCTACTATTTCGACGACGAAATTTAATTAAAGGACGTTGACCATCATCTAATTAGATATCAAATATTAATACTTTATTTCTATTTATATCATTATAAATACCTGTTTTATCATGTCGTTCAATTCTAGCATATTCAACATCAAACCAAAGCCTTTGATTTGTTTTTAACCGCGATTCGATTAAATCTTGTACAACAAGATTTTGACTATAAAATGTTGAAACTTTTCCTTCGGTATATTCTGTTATTGGTACACTAATTCTTTCACCATTAAATTGTATATTTATACAACGTTGTATAATTCCTTCTTTTAAAACTCGTTCATTAATATCAATTTCATCAAGTAAATCAATTATTGATTGTTCAAGAACACCTGCACGAATATTTGATTCAACATCTGAACGAGATTGTTCTTCAATTATAATTGAATCAATACTTGGTCGAAATAATAATGCACCTAACAATAATCCAGATGGTCCACAATCAATTATTTCTACTTGTGTTCGATGATTTTTTTTATTTTGTTTCATAGACATCGACGAAATCTCTTTTATTAAATCATAATTGGTATTTAATGAAAATTTTTCAAGAAGTGAACAAACAACAGAGTTTGAGTTTGATAATAAACAATGAGATCGATTAAGAATGAATTGAGTCAATTGTTCTCGACCTATTTCATTAATTAGCTTAGGACAACGATTAATTAATTCATCGAGTATTATTAATGGATACATATTCTCAATTTAGTAACCCTTTCTTAAATATAAAAAAAACAAACTCAACTAACTTTATTGTCTTGACGAAAACATTCGATGATAGTGCCAAATAAATGACTTTGATTAATAGCATAACCATGTTCAAGAAGAAGTATAACTGTTGAATAGTCTGATTGTCGTATTGCTTCATTAAGACATGTTATTCCATTGTTCTGGCAAGACCAATTAATATTAGCATTTGTTTGTTGAATAATGTATTTAATAATATCATGTTTTTGTGGTTGAATAGAAAGAAATAAAAGTGGATAACCTGTTGATGGATGTGGACAATTGATATCGATTAATTTTGAATTTAATATATATTCTAAAAATGATAATAAACCCAAACGACAAGAACGAAAAAGAAGTTCCGTATGTTGATGTGATTTAAGCAAAGATGAATATTTTGAATATAAAGAAATAAAATCTTCTAGTGATTGATCATCAGTTAAATTTATTAATTGTTCATGAATTTGTTTAATCATTTTAGATCTGAAACAATACTTTTACACATTATTAGATTCAATACACTAGAGTGGGGTTGAGTATATGTTTAAGTATTACAGCTATCCACCCACAGCTACACCTCTCTGTTTGAGCTGAAATTCTTAGATTATTTTTAACTATATTAGCTCTATCTACTGTAAAAATATCTCAAGTCCTTTCGAAAACTTTCAAAAGAAGAGGACTTCATTGAAAAAAACATTCACGTTTATAAAAACGTTTGTGAAGCATTTCGGTTGTTAAATAAGCTAAAGCTTGAACTAACTTCACTTAAGTTGTAAAGACAACTCATGAATGTTTTTGGTCATTTTTGTGTGAAGAAGAATACTATGAGATTTTGAAAAATAATTTCATTTGTTACAGAAAATAGTTGATCGATATTCTATATAGCTCAAATATTCGAAGAATTGAGGTATATCATATCTTATTTCTGATATCCTATCAATGGTGAGTGTACTAGAAAGTTTACAGATCTATAAAAGTAAAAAAAGATTTCAGATTGTAACACAATCCACAAATGTGTGATGTACTGCAGCAGACAACGATAAAGCTGCCTTACAATAAAATCATCATGGAGATACTCACTTTTGTGAAAAATAGAAATGAAAATAGATATTGTTATACTAAAAAATTATTTCTTAATTTGATGATTCCACGACACTTTGTAACGATTAGACATACATTCAGTTGAACTTGTTTTTTTTTCTCCGACAGAAAAAAAAGCCAGAGAAGATAAATAAATCGTATCCTAATCGGCATTGAATAGTATATTTCGATAGGTTCAATAGAAAACCGACTAATACTATATGTTGAACATTTTCCCGAAGGTAATCGTATGACACAATAGATCATTATTGGTTAAAGATGTCCTGCCAAACGAAATGTTCTTTTCATGAACCACAACATATATTCGAGATATTGAACGATGGCCTCAATACAAGCCGCCATTTCTTTTTTGATTTCTTCATTCATTCAGACGCAATTATTACTAACGTCGTTCTAATGGTTCCCCATATCGTATAAGCGGAGCACGCATAAGTACGCTTTTTATAAACGATTGTTACACGTAGATAATCGATAAAGTGGGACTAAACAAAAGCTAATTTTTTTCTTTGTTTTATTTCTGCTTTCGTTCAGACGCGATTATCACCAACATCATTCTACTTGCTCTTCTTGTCGTATAAGCGAAGCATGTAAAACTAATTTTTTTTATAAATGATTGCTTCACTTAGAAAAACGACAGTGTAGCTAAAAGAAAACTAATTTTTCCTTTTATATCTGTGGGTGTGAGGATGAGTAGGGGTGTGAGTATTATATTTACACCCACACCCTCAAGTACAGTGAAGTACAAATGAAGTATACACTCATGTAGGCTCGCTTTTTCCTCCTTGCGTGAAAGTCAATTTCACTATATACACTACCTCTCGACCGAACGACTCAATATTTTACCAAGAATAGAGGCATGTTCACATTTCAAACATATATGACCAAAGATAGTGAAGAATTTTGATGAGTACCACTACTGATCTGAATAAGAAAGTTTAACTTTTTACATCTAAAAAAAAAATGTGAACGTAGGTTTCTGTTCTTCATCTACACCCACTCTAAAGATGTTAGTCTTGTTTACCCTGATACAAATGAGAAAACAATATGACTAAGCGTCACCATCAGTCAAGGGACAGTTTTTTTAGATTCTATAGCAGAGCCACTAGAAGTGGCCTATTTTTGCGTTCAAAATATTCTCTATTTCCTACGTTTATCTCTGGAATAACTTGGTCTTTAAACATTGTCCCGGAAATCTTTATTTTTTTTCTAGGCGTCAGTATCAAAGAAACTTAAGTCTAGCAACAACATGTGTATGCAGATGAGTCTTGAAATATTCTCAGCTGTATTTCTTCGATTGTATTGTGCTAAATGACAAAACTGGTTCTTCTTAATTCACTAGATCTTCATCACGCATCGCTTGTGTGGTAATTTACATTGTGCAGCCTTTGTGTACTTTTGCAGCAGCTTTTTCATGTTTCAAACAAAATTCGACGATGCGTTCGCATGCTTCACATGTCTTATCGAATGGTGCTGTCAAAACCAGACGAAAATAGTTAGGAACACCAAAAACCTATGTCACATATAAAATTGTATCATACATGTGAGAATGATTATTATCCGCTTCAAGAAGAAAAAGTTAATTTGACGATGTGTTAGATATCTCAAGGCTCGAAGAAACTCTCGAAGGTTTCTAGCTTTTCCAAAGGGCTGATAGAGTTTTAATAACTTCTTATAATGACTAAATAGTATTAGCGACACGTTTTTGATACTTTTCGTATATTAGAATTAGCACCTGGCCTGGGAACATATTTCCACACACTGTCTTCTTAACTAAAGACTGGCCTTTAAAAGAGTGGTAGCAGGTTTTGGCTTTATCTTCGATGTAAAACAAAAAAATAGTTGATTTAACCACGTTTTTAAGAAACATCTGTAGGTTTCCGATACTACATAGAGGAGTTTACAAAAAACTTTGAAATTTTGCCGTTAGATAATATATCAGATTGAAAGACTAATGCAGTCGTGGTAATCTCAAAAGTACGAGCATGTTCAAGCTCATATACAATATATTATGTATTGTTAAAGGAAAAATAATAGTTTTTTGTCCAGGAGAAAAGAAGCAGATTTATGTATCTATATAGTTTGCATTCGTTTAGAAATACGTTCTATTCCATCTGGATTTTTGGTATATAATATAGTTTTTTACCTCTTGCGTTGTACACTTACCGACGCTGGCAAACAAGAGACGGACTGCTGCTTGTACAATTTGGTAAAAAAATCTATGTCGTTGTCTACATCATTATAGACAGTATGGTCAATGGCAACCTGAAAGTACATAATCACAAGTACAAAATGCACTGTTAAAAGCGGTTTTGCTAGTTATACACGCAGACAGAGAGAGTAGTGTGAGTAGAAGTAAAAGATTGTTGCTATGTTCAAGAAACGTTTCTCTAGCATTTCTCGAGAGCATCTTGAGGATGTACGTGTGGGTATATATCTTCTCTTTCTACTCATTCATTCTCACCCATACCCACACTCTAACATCTTCTTGTACAAATAGAAAGATCTTATAGGAGTATGAAATCTTGTAGACAACTCATAAGAAGAATCTAAGATAAATGGCAGCACTTAGGTTGTGGTCTATAACAGAACTAATATCCTGATGTAGTTTCTTTACATGCACAACAATTCTTTAACAAAAAAGTGATTTCTGCATTGCTCATCATGTTATTATGGTATGCTCTTGACCTGGTATTTGAAAATATTTTAGCTAAAAGTATGAGGAAACGTCTTTAAACAGGATTAATTCATTTACGATATATTCAGTTGGTCTTTAGTAAACTGAAGAAATAGTCAACAGTCGAAACTTTACTGATGTACATGTCAAATAACATATCGAGCCAGACGACATTGAACGCTTCGATTATGCAAAAAGCTACTGATATATGATTTTCTGTACTTAGAAATTACATATGAAATTAGCATGAATATACAATAGAAACATTTTTCGACCGTAAGAAGGATGGTTTTGGCAAACTTCTCTGTTGTGAGAATAAGTTTTGTTTTATAAGTTCAGGATATATGCTCAACAAAACATTTCTACAGCATTCTGTCTGATCCGAAAACATGTTCGATTTATCATATGAAAAGTGCACTTGAAATTAATAACAAATAAAACAGATTCGAGAGTGTAGAACTGTTCATCCTCATACATCTAATAAGTTCTTCGGAGTCTATTAAATCCTACCAGTTTGAAACAAAGCATTTTCGCGTTTTTTTCTATTTCTCAATTTTCTATTAGAAATCAAAGTGTTGGCTAGGATTAATTCTAGAAATTAGAATCTTGACGTACCTTGAATGATATGTCTTTGAGTGTTAGATAATAATGCTCCAATTTCTCATTACAGTGTCGTATCGCTCTAAGAACTATGTCGCATACATGGTGAAAAAGTGAACACATGATATGAAGCTCGAAAGCATGTCACTAGATGCTGTTGTCGGCTTACTTCAACTATAAATATCATGAGCAATTGAAAAATCATGAAAGAAGTTGAAAATGCCCTGAAAATATCCTAAAGTTTTTTTTAGAGTTTACGTTGAAGTTGTTTACTGCAAAGTTAAACATACTTTCTTGCAAATTAGGATTATAAGAAAATTTTCTTGCTATCGAAAACAAATTCAAACTTGAAAACTCAAAATTCTACTTCTTGAAAATAGAACTTCCCAGAAAATATGCTCCACGCTTCTCTGTCAGTAGAAAAGTATTTTTACAGTACATTGATACAGTTTTATATGTAGCTTCTGAATATAAACAAAAACATATCCGGATATTTTGTTACGTTACGCAACTATCCGATTTCTGCTAATATAATATATTATTTTAAAATTCACCGTACGATTGAGAGGTTGAGACAAATATGAGAACGTATCTACATGAATTAACAGTCGCCTTGTATACAGAAATTTTTTGTTAAGATTTTAATCAATTCTTACCAACATGTAGATTGTGCCTTGAGGCATAAGAGGCTTCAAACCGGGTGCCCTAGCCAAAATTTCATAACACACTGTAGCATTTATCTGTATAATATAGAATAAATGTCATAGTTTAGATTGAAATTTCAATTATAACCTGAATGTGAGTCATAATGTCGTCAAAATACTTTTGAGGTGTATTTATTAAAATATTGGGCAAAGCTGTTTGTACCACCGAATTAGGGCCAAGAATACGAGTGGATAAATCCAACAAGCCAGGTCGAATAGACTCTAGAATATACTATCATCTACAACTTCCGCCTAAGATGTAGATTATCACTACCTTTAAACACATTATTGCGATCATATATAGCGATCCAGCCTAAACGCCAGCCAGGACATACATAACGCTTAGATAAACCACTACACGAGAGGACAGGCACGCTTTTAGCTATCGGACCCATATAATGGAAACTGCTACCGGGAAATACCTGTTATTTAATTTGTGAATATATTTAGTCAATTTTGTTCTTCTTATTTACCATATGCGCATAGATCTCGTCAACAATAATAGGCAAACGATATTTTTCGCACAGATCAATAATCTTCTGTAAATGTTCGGCATTGTATACAGAACCTGTCCGTGAATGATAGTAAGCAAAAGGATAATATTATTTCATGACTTACCACATGGATTTGACGGATTATTAATGACGACGGCTTTAGTTCTCTCATTGATTACAGCTGCCATATCATCCAAATCTACCTCCCAATCTTGATCAGGCTGCACATAAGTAAAATGATCAAATACATTATAGACTGCAAACACCAATACCTACTTTTAGCTTGTAGAATCGTGGTTCAATATTAAGTGAATGGCACAATGTAACATACAGTGAGAAACCAGGCTGAGGTAGAAGAATATTATCACTTGCATTGGCTACACAGTTGAAGCATATTTCGAGAGCATGCGAACACCCGTTTGTCAGGATAATATCCTATACATCAAGACTAACATCAACTAAATGGCTTTCAAAAGATAATAATAGCTTACTCTTAAGTCTAGCATAAAACCATCTACTGATAATAATTTCGCAACCGCACTTCGCGCTTCATCTGTCCCTGCAATAAACAATATTTATTGACTTACATGTCTTAGCTCGAAGTACTGTTTACCAGAAGATGGCACATAGCCGTGACATGTCAGTGTGGAAAAAGCTTCAATGACCGCTTGTCTGGCCTCAACAGGAGGGAGCATGTTGCCGTAAGTAGTCGGATCACCTATATGAAAGTTAACGATCAATTTAAAAAAGTCTAAGTCTCACCGATAGATAATGAGATCATCAATTTATCTGGATTTGATACCAATTTGCATCGATCGATAATTCGACGGATCGGATTGACCGTATTTTGGGCGCTTTGGGAGGCCGTAATATTCCACTTTTCCTCATCTATGACAAATTCCATCTCTGTACTATTCTCTAGAGAAATGAAAATCGTACTAGAACGACTAAAATGAATATTTGTCAAAATGTATAAATTTCTTATCTCAATAGTTACACTTCAATGGACTACTGTAGAAAAACTTCAGAACATCAAAACTAGCATAATTAGAAGAGATAACTGTACTTCCGAAAGCAATTCTGTGACTTTTTATTTAATCTTTTGCTAATAAATGATTAAACACTATTACTGGTTCTGAAAGGACATTAATATTACGGTACAAATGAAGTGTCTGGAAGTAGGGTAAACTTTCTAAAGACGTATACGTGAAATTTTTATTATAGCGAGTTGGCGACCTTCGAGCATACATACAGTGTTGCGAAGTATTATACGTTTATCCTACTCCTTTAAGTGGGATGAGGTTTTTTCCTTTAATGATGTTGATTTATCATTTTCAATCCACCCACAATATGTATATTCCTATGTATTTTTTCAACATCTGTTGTTATAACAGGGTGTGGTGTGGGTGTGGGTGTGGTTTAGATGTGAATGTAGGTACAGGCGTGGCTGAGGATATCTTTCACAGCCACACCCACCCCTTCGTGCTGTTCAGCGTAACAATACCACGTTTCTTTCTGATTTTAGATCGATATCATAACATAAATTAACGTACCTACTTGTTATAAAAAACAAAATTCAACTAACTTATTAACCATTAATAATACACATGAAATTAAACGAGTAGATGTTGCAACAGTATTTGTATAGTCAAAAAAAACTAAGCTCGAAATTTCGAACACACGTCACGTCAATGTATATACTACCATCAAAATCAGTCCAATTTTTACGAATGACAGTAAATAATAGGTTTCTGACAATATGCTCTGAAACGAACAATATTAAGTTGCTAAAAAATATTGAGTTAATTAATATTCAACTGATCAGCAATGATTAGGATGCTGAACTCTCAAAAACAGAGCAAAAGTACCCAAAACTCAGAAGTACTTTTGTTCTGTCTCTAGGAATCACTTCTAGGTAGTGAGTATCTTTGTTCTGTTTTAGGAATGATACACTTTAAAAAAAACTGGAACTCTACTGAACCCTCGAAGAGTGTGGGTGTGGGTGGGTGTCAATATGGTGTGAGGGTGTATGTGTACGAAGTATAATACCCACATCCACACCGTCAATATAATGATTAAAATAGAAATTTAATTAATTATCTTATTCTTTATTAGTTCCATTCATAAACAACTGGAAATTATTTTAACTAAATAGAATTGACAGATAAATCATACATTGATGTGTGTATGTGTGTGAGGGCATCTCGGTGTGGAGGGAGTGTGAGTCCGAGTTAAGGGTTGAGGTACCCACGCACTCGTACACGTCGATTCATTGACTCTTCTTTTGTGTCTTTTATTTCGTGTCCAATTTTACTTTTACAATGTTAAGAAGTATATCTGATTCTCCGAACGGCATGCATCAATACGTATGAAGACCGCTTTATACCATCCATTTATCGCTCCTAAGTAATAAACCAAAAACTTATATTCTTTCATGAGATACATAAATACCGCCATACTTAATCCACATTCGACTCTTCATACCTATTCAACGAAAATAAGCGATTTCCTTTTTTCTTTTCTTTTCTTTTTTTACTCTGTTCTATATTACCTTTTATCCTCATATTATCTTACATCGTCAAACTTCGCATTTTTTCGATCATTCGTCTCAGTCGATTGCTTTTTTTTTCTGCTTTACTATTTTTTATATCCCATTTTACTTTTACAATACTAAGAAACACGTCTGATTCTAGAAACGACATGTATCCGTACTTATCACGACCCGCTTATACTATCCATTTGTCTCTCCTAAGTGATATAGCAAAGATTTATCCTTCTTCATGAGATAGGCATAAATACTGGACATACTCAATCCACACTCGACTCTCCATACTTTTCAAACAGAAATAACCGATTTCTTTCTTTATTTTTCTACTCTCTGTTCAATTTCTCTCCTATTCTGTGTTGCCTTAAAGCCTCATATTATTTCACATGGTTCAATTTTACATTTTACCGGTCATTCGTCTAACTCCATTGCTTTTTCTTTTCTTCTTTAGTTTTAATTTATGTGCCATTTTACTTTTATAAGGCTTACAAATGACTCTGATTCTAGAAGCGACATGTATCAATACTTATTCAG